CAACACCATTAAAAAGTGGGCAAAAGACATGAAGAAAAGTGTTTCAAAGGACAATAGACAAATGGCCAGCAAAATATGAAAAAAATGTTCAATGTTACTAATCATCAGGGAGATGCAAATTAAGACCACAGTGGGTTGTCATCTTATCCCTGTCAGAATAGCTATTATTAAAAAGTAAACAAAACAAACAAACAAAAAAACAATAGCGTGGATGCACAGAGAAAGGAACACGCATACGCTGTTGATGGGACTGCAAATTAGTACAATCTCACGGACAACAGTATGAAGATTCCTCAAAGAAATAAATATAGGCTTACCATTTGACCCAGCAATCCCATTACTTGATATCTACCCTAAGGCAAAGAAGTCATTTTATCAAAAAGATACCTGCACTCGAATGTTTATTGCAGGATAATTCATAATCACGAAGATGTGGCATCAACCTAAGTGCCCATCAATTCATGAGTGGATTAGCAAAATGGTGTATATATACCATAGAGTACTACTCAGCCATAAAAATGATTGAATTAATGTCTTTTGCAGAAATTTGAATGAACTGGAGATCATTGTCCTAAGTGAAGTATCTCAGGAATGGAAAAAGAAACACCACATGTACTCTCTAATGATTTGGAACTAATTGATGGGCACACATGGGTACAGAGAGAAGTGAAAGTCATTAGAAATCAACAAGGGGGAGGAGGGGAGGGGGGAGTGGTAAAAACCTACCGGATGGATACGATGACCACTATTTGGGTAATGGGCACACTAATAGCCCATCTTTTAAGCATTACAAAAGTGATCCACGTAACCAAAAACATTTGCACCCCCTTAATATTTTGAAATCAAAAAAAAGAAAAAAATGATGGTCATTCTGACAAGGGTGAATTGATGTCTCATGGTGGTTTTGAATTAATTGCCTTTCCCTGATGGGTGATTATTGTTGAGCATTTTTTTTACATATCTGTTGGCCATTATATATCTGTTTTAAAGAAATGTATATTTAGGTTTTTGTACATTTTAATAAATACTTGTTTTTGTTTTGTAGATATTTGAGTTTCTTGTACATTTTAGATATTGACACCTTGTTAGATGTGTGGTTTGTGAATATTTGCTCCCATTCATAGTTCGTTTCATCATTCTGTTGATTTGAATTGGTGCTGTGCAGAAGCTTTTGGGTTTGAAATAATCCCATTTGCCTATTTTTATTTTTGTTGCCTGGGATGTTAAATACAAAAAATCATTACTAAGACCAATTTTATGGAGATGTCACCTTATATTTTCTTGTAGTAGTTTTAGAGTTTCAGGACTTGTGTATTTATCCAAACTGGAAACAACCTAAATCTGCATCGGTAATAGAAATAATAAATAAAATAGGTTATATATCTTTTCAAAAGTTATATTATGCATATATAAAATTATTTACAGCCATATAAAAATATGTATGAAACTTACAATCATAATTCAACTAGATTGACATAAAACAGTATATTCTGTGTGATTTTATTTAAATAAAGGTTAACAACAAGCAAAGCAAAACAAAACAAAAAAATGAAATAGATTTTTTTCATTATAGTACCTATAATTTCACCTTTTTTTCCTAGTCATTTCCTAGTCACACCCAAACCTTTTGTCTTGAAGAATAGATAGCAAGAGTGACAAGGGTATTTTCATGACATTTACAGACACCCATTATATTCATCACCTTGGCCCTCCCAAGCCATTGTACAGGAACTTGTAAAGCAGTATACTCAAATAAACGATAGTTATCCTCATGATCAAAGACCATGTTTATCCAGCAAAAGAATCCAGGTAGCTGAACCAGAATTCAAGTTTAATACCATTATGGCCAGGTTGTTACTAGGTGAGTGTACCAAGTGTACCAGGCTGAGCTAAGGTTGCTGTCAGGAGAAACAAAGAAACATCATGAGAGTTGAAGTAGATGTACTTGTACTTTTTTCTATTTCTCCTGTTAAGTACAGCTAACAAGCCTGGATGTTACAGACGTTCCTCAACTTACAATGGTATTACTTCCTGATATAGTCATTGTTGAAAATATTGTAAGTCAAAATGCATTTAACACACTTAATATACTGTGCTTCATAACTTAGCCTATCCTACCTTAAATACGCTCAGAACACTTACATCAGCTGGTTGGACAAAATCATCTAACAAAAAGCATATTTTATGATAAAGTGTTGAATAGCTCATGTAATTTATTGAATACCGTACAGAAAGAGAAAAACAGAATGGTTGTATGGGTGCTCAAAGTGTAGTTTCTACTCAATGTGTATCACTTTCCCACCATCAAAAATTATTAAGTTGAACATTGTTCATTAGGGAACCATCTGTATATAAAACCGAAATATCCTGAATTAAAAAAAAATCAAAGGATAAGAAGTGTCTAAACATGGAGAGAAAAAGCCAGACTGGCTCAGGAATTTAGGACCTGAGGAATGCTAGAGCTGTAAGTTCCGTAAGTTTCCTTTGTCTCATATAACCCGGTCGCATCTAGGACTCACCAGTAACCTGGAAATGCCAGTAGGTACAGAGTAAATGTCCTGCTTTCTCTAGCCAAAAAAAAAAAAAAAACAAAAAACCAGGAAAAGATCAGACTAGCAAGACAGAAAACTGTAAGACCATAACCAGTCTACTCCAGCCAAATACCACAGAAAGGTTTACAGTAACCAGGCAAACACTTAAAAGGGTAAATGCCACCTGGTAGGAGAGTTTCATGGTATTTTAACTTACCTTTGCTCCCCTTCCCTTCACTGGCTTGAAGACAGCCTTTAATGGCAGCCTGCATTCCCAGTGTGGGTTCCTGGTGTTGGAGGAAGTAGAGTGGATCTTGTTACCAGAGAATAGTGCTTGACACTTTGACCTGTCAGGTGGCTCCCTGAAGGGCTAATTCAAAGAACTTACCTGTACTTCACATAACTCAAAACTCTCTCAGGGTGAAGTGGCTATGCAGAGGAAATTTTCTCACAAACAATTTGCCAATGGATTCGACAGCAGGCAGGAGAAAGAATCTGCAAACTTAAAGACAAGCCAGTTGAAATTATTCAATCTAAGAATTAAAAGGAAAAAAGAATGAAGAAAAATGAACAGAACTTAAAAGAGCTGTGGGACATTATTAAAAGGCGAGGCCTAAGTAGGATTCTCAGAATGGCAGGAGAGAGAGAAAGAAGCATGAAGAATATTTGAAGAAATAATGCCCAAATTGAACAGAAAACATGAGTCTAGAAAATTTACTCGTAGAAGACATACCTAGAAAACTTACTACTGTGGAAAATGCAGGCTGCCTAAATCAAGTGGGGGTGGAGACTGTGATTTCTTTTTGATTGATTGCTATAACATTGTCCTTCAGGCATATGCAGGAGCTTCATATTTCCTTTAGACATCATTAGGCACAGAAGCTTTGGCAGGACAACTTTGATGTTGTATGAATTCTGGCATTTTGATACCAGCGATATGGCTCTTGGATCCACCACAACATTAGATCAATTGACTAGTTCATACTATTTTTGTTACAAATCTTGCAAAGGGGGTGCTTCTTACAAAGACTGTGCTTCATGTCCACATTCAATTTTGAAGATGTTATATTTAGTTTTTATAAATTTTCCGAGACTGTGGTTAGCTGCCATCTGAGTTGCTGTTACTCCTCCTTTGGTATTTCCATTTACTGGGAAATGGCTGTGATTTCTGTCAAGTGCAATGTACTCTTGGAGTAAAGGATTTCAATATTAGCATCTTCTCCCTCATTCCATTTCTTATGCAGTTGTTGGTGGGAATGGGAAGTACCTGCCCAGGCCATCTTTGGCGGGTACTGGTTACATGCCTCTTGAGTAGAGAGGGCCTGTGCCATTGCTGGCTTCCAGCCACCAGCTTCTGCAAGAGCATGAAGCAGGTTGTGGAACAGAGGAGGAGCAGCAGTTGTCTGTGCTTGTTTCTCTGTAGACCCATTAAGATTCTTGGATGATAGCTCTCTGATAGATCTGGTTTGCTGGTTAGGTGAGGATGGAAATGCAAAGAGAGGCAAGATCCATAACTTTTGGAGATTAATTCTTAGATATCAGCTTTGTACAAGAAAGGCAATAATAGAAATTAGACAAATGAACAGGCATATTGGGTTTTATTGATAGTCTAAGTAGTGAAGGCAGGTCTATCTCTATTGCACCAACTCAAAAAAGTACTATTTTGACACACATGTGTCACTGGTGCAAAATGAAAGGATGAATTCCAAGCTCCTCTCATTCCTGAACTCATTAAAAATGTTGTGCAGGCTGTTTGTTCAGATTTTAGGCCACTGTTTTTAAAGGATTCTTTGGAGTTACAAGAGATTTCTTTAAGAATTGGAGATAATGAAGTAGTGTACAGCACATCTGGCCTGCCATAGAGAAGAATTATGCAATATGAAATGCTCCTTGAATTGCAGGAACCTCACCCAAAATTATTATGATGGAATACTTCATGACTGATCTTTCAGTGCAGGAAAGTGGCTATTTGAAATAACTGCTCTTACTCATACAAGAGTTGCCATTTTATGTAGAACACATATACACATCCCCCGAAAACATTGCCTAAAGCATTTGCTTCTCAGATTTTTAATTTAACTAAATCGTCAGATTTTTACTTTCACTAGTTCACATAATAAAAGTCTACATTTTGAATATATCTTTGATCATTATCATGATTCCACAAGATGGCAGTTTCTTCTTAGGGACCTTGAGGAAATCTCTCAATCTCCAAAGTGCTTCTGTGTTTGTGCGTGCGTGCGTGTGTGTGTGTGTGTGTGTGTGTGTGAAAGGGAGAGAGAGAGAGAGAGAGAGAGAGAGATCAGGGGAGTGGCTTAGTGGTATAGCAGGGGTGGTGAAAAGAACCTCTTTTTTTCTAATTGGTAGAACAAAATCTTTTTATGATTCTTAAAGCAGAAAATTAGAAATGACTAAGCTAGGCTCATTTCTTTTAAGGTTTAAAATTTGAATCCTCAGTGAACTGCAGAGATGAACTCCTTGAGAGTTTTACTCGTGATTCTATGGCTTCAGTTAAACTGTGAGTTTTGGTCATCTCTACTGGAGGTGATGATAGTATAATATTTGGATATATTTGGAGTTAGTGTTTATCCTAGGCCTGTGGATAAAAACATAAATGTCTTTTGCTTCTGTTCAAGGGTTGGTAGTGTGTAGGAGGCCTGGGGAGGAAGCATCCACTACCCAACCAACCTTCTTTGTCTGACCATTGTCTTTTGCACAGGGGTGAGGAGCCAACAGGAGGTGGAGCAGACTCCCAAATCCCTCACTGTTTCTGAAGGAGCCACTGCGTCTCTCAGCTGCACTTATAGCAACACTGCTTTTCAGTAGTTCACGTGGTACAAACAGTATTCTGGCAAAGGCCCTGAGTTGCTGATGTTCATATACTCTGCTGGTGACAAAGAAGAAGGAAGGTTTACAGCACAGCTCAATAAAGCCAGCCGAAATGTTTCCCTACTCATCAGAGACTCCCAGCTCAGTGACTCAGCCACCTACCTCTGTGCAGTCAGCACACAGTGCTCCCCAGGCACCTGCAGCCTGCACCCAAACCTGCTGGGGCCTCAGGAACTCCTGATACAGACAGAGCTTAGACTGCAGGGCGGAGAAGTTCTGTTTGCTCTCTAGATGCAAATGGAAATTAAGAGTGATAATATGGAGGGTTTGTTTGATTCAGAAAGTGTTTCCACAATTCTAAAAATAATTGATCCTGAAGGGAAATGAAAGATAGAATACTGCCCTGGAAAAAATATTTTCCAGACTTCTCTTTTCACTCTAGTTTTTAAAAATTATTATTTAAAGTTATTGTTGAGGTATATGATTGACATACAAAATGTGCACATATCTTGATGTGTTTGTGGATACATATAAACCCTGTGAAACCGTCATCATAATCTACACACCATAAACATATCCATTACCTCTAAAAGTTTTCTTCTTACATGTACTCACCATCAAATTGGTATTAATTGTTCAACACTTATGTGCACATATAGTAGTAACATTCACTGGGTGTCAGGCAGGTGGGAGGGGGGAGGAGGAGATGGGTTTATTCACACCTGATGGGCGCAGTGCGCACCATCTGGGGGACGGACATACTAAAAGCTCTGACTTGGGTGGAGCAAAGGCAATATATGTAACCTAAGCATTTGTACCCCTGTAATATGCTGAAATAAAAAAAGAGAGAGAGAGAAAAATAAGATGATGACAATGTTTTTGCTAAAAAAAATAAAAAAATAAAAATTTTCTTCTTCCTCACTTTTTTATTGAGTTATGATTGATATACAAAAAGGTGCACATATTTAACATACATGTCTTGATGCCCACTGTAGTTTTCTTTCACAACACGTTTTGATGGTATTAGTTTTGTGATTTCCAATGTCCATTATACCACTCTGTGTGCTTTTGTGTAGCCATAGTTTCTCTCCCACTTATAAGTGAGAAGATAAAGCATATATTTTTCTATTCCTAAGTTACTTTACTTAGGATAATGGCCTCCAGCTCCATCCAATTTGCTGCAAAAGACATTATTTCATTCTTTTTTATTGTTGAGTAGTGCTCCATGGTATAGATACCACATTTCTTTGCCCACTAATCATTTAATGGGAACTCAGGTTAATTCCTGAGTTAGGTGTCAAGTGCAGGTGTCTTTTTGATATAATGATTTCTTTTCCTTTGGGCAGATACCCAGTAGTGGGATTGCTGGGTAAAATGGTAGATCTGCTTTTAGTTCTTTGAGAAATCTCCATACTGATTTCCTAGACGTTGTACTAATTTGCATTCCCATTAACAGTGTGTTCCCCTTTCACCCCCATCTGTGCCAACATCTATTGTTTTCGACTTTTTAATAATGATCATTCTAATCGGAGTAAGATGACATCTCACTATGGTTTTAATTTGCTTCCTGGATGATTAGTGGGTGATGATTAGTGATGTTAAGCATGTTTTCATATGTTTGTTGGCCATTTGTCTATCTTCTTTTCAAAAATGCCTGTTCATGTCTTTTGCCCACATTATAATGGGGTTGTTTATTTTTTTTCTTGCTGAATTATTTGGGTTCCTTGCAGATTTGGGATATTAGTCCAATGTCGGACACATAGTTTGTGAATATTTTCTCCCATTCTATAGGTTTTCTATTTACTCTTTTGATTATTTCTTTTGCTGTGAAAAACATTTTAGTTTAAATAAGTCCCACTTGTCTATTTTTGTTTTTTATTGCATTTGCTTTTGGGGTCTTAATCATAAATTCTTTGCCTAGGCCAATGTCCAGAAGAGTTTTTCCCAGGTTTTCTTCCAGGATTTTTATTGTTTGAGATCTTACATTTAAGTCTTTAATCCATCTTGAGTTGATTTTAGTATATGGGGAGAGATAGGAATCCAGTTTCATTCTTCTGCATTTGGCTATCCAATTTTATTCATTTATTGAATAGTGCGTCCTTCCCCCAGTGTATGTTTTTGTCTGGTTTTTCAAAGATGAGTTGGATGTATGTATATGGTTTTGTTTCTGGGTTCTCCATTCTGTTCCATTGATTGATGTGTCTACTTTTATACCAGCACCATGATCTTTTGATTATTATAGACTTGAAGTATAATTTGAAGTTAGGTATATGATGGCTCCAGTTTTGTTCTTTTAGGTTTAGATTAGGATTGCTTTGGCTATTTGGGCTATTTTCCCTTCCATGTGAATTTTAGGATTGTTTTTTTTAAATCTGTGAAAAATTATATTGGTATTTTGAATACCTGAATGTCTAACTCTCTTGCTAGTTCTGGGAAGTTTTCATCAATTATTTCCTTAAATAGGTTTTCTAAACTTGATCTCTCTTCTCCCTCAGGAATACCAATAATTTCTAAGTTCAGTCACTTTATGTAGTCCCAGATGTCTTGAAGTCTTTGCTTATCCTATTTTATTCTTCTTTCCTTATTTTCATCTGACTGGATTATTTCAAAAGACCTGTCTTCATGGTCTGAGATTCTTTCTTCCATGTGATCTAGTCTATCCTCAAAGCTTTTGAATGTGTTTTGTATTTCCATCAATGAATTTTTCAGCTCCAGAATTTTTGTGTGTGTTTTTTAATGATATCTATCTCCTTGGTAATTTTCTCATTCATATACTGAATTGATACTCTGATTTCTTTGTATTGATTTTAAGATTTATTTTCCATCTAATTGAACTTCTTTAGAATCAATATTTGGAATTCTTATTGGCATTGTGAAGAATTCTTTTTGATTTGGATCCATTGCTGGACTATTGTTGTGGTCCTTTGATGGTGTCGTATTTCCTTACTTTTTTTTTTTATTTCAGCATATTATGAGGGTACAGATGCTTAGGTTACATATGTTGCCCTTGCCCCCCCCCCGCCAAGTCCCAGTTTCAAATATGTCCATTCTTCAGGTGGTGCGCATTGCACTTTTTGTGTATGTGTATACCCATCCCCACCTCCCTCCTCCCCCATGCCCCTTCCCCCTCCCCCCTGCCCAACATCCAATAGATGTTATTCTTATATGTGCACTTATGTATTGATCAGTTAATACCAATTTGATGGTGAGTGCATGTGGTGCTTGTCTTTTCATTCTTGGGATACCTCATTTAGTAGAATGCATTCCAGCTCTATCCAGGAGTATACAAGAGGTGCTATATCACCATTGTTTTTTAAAGCTGAATAGTACTCCATGGTATACACATACCACATTTTATTAATCCACTCACGTATTGATGGACACTTGGGTTGTTTCCACATCTTTGCAATTGTGAATTGTGCTGCTATAAACATTCGGGTGCAGGTATCTTTTTCATAGAGCGACTTTTGTTCTTTTGGGTAGATGCCCAGTAATGGGATTGCTGGATCAAATGGAAGCTCTACTTGTATCTCTTTAAGGTATCTCCATATTGCTTTCCACAGAGATTGCACTAGTTTGCAGTCCCACCAACAGTGCATGAATGCTCCTATCTCTCTGCATCCACGCCAACATTTATTGTTTTGGAACTTTTTGATAAAGGCCAGTCTCGCTGGAGATAGGTGATATCTCATTGTGGTTTTAATTTGCATTTCTCTGATGATTAGAGATGTTGAGCATTTTTTCATATGTTTTTGGCCATTATTCTGTCTTCTTTTGAAAAGTTTCTGTTCATGTCCTTTGCCCACTTTTTGATAGGGTTGTTTGATTTTTTCTTGTTGATTTTCCTGAGTTCTAAGTAGATTCTGGTTATCAGCCCTTTATCAGATTTGTAGCATGCAACGATTTTCTCCCATTCTGTAGGTTGTCTGTTTGCTCTTGTGACCGTTTCTTTGGCTGTGCAGAAGCTTTTTAATTTGATCAGGTCCCATTTATTTATTTTGGTTGTTGCTGTGATTGCCTTTGGGGTCTTCTTCATAAATTCTTTGCCTAGGCCAATGTCTAGAAGAGTATTTCCTACATCTTCCTCTAGAATTCTAATAGTTTCACTCCTTAGGTTTAAATCTGTTACCCAGCGTGAGTTGATTTTTGTGAGAGGTGAAAGGTGTGGATCCTGCTTCAGTCTTCTACATGTGGCTATCCAGTTTTCCCAGCACCATTTATTGAATAAGGATTCTTTTCCCCAGTGTATATTTTTGTCTGCTTTGTCAAAGATTAGGTGGCTATATGAGGATGGTTTTACATCTGGTTTCCTTGCTTTTTAATGTTTCCTGTGTCCTTCCATTGATATGTGCACATCTGATCTAGCAGTCACTCATTCCAACTTTTTGAATTTGCTTTCAAAGGGGAGAATGTTTTCCTGGAGATGTATATGTGTTGCTGGTTCAGTAGGTCACTTTGGCTTTGATTTTGGATGACTGCAGTAGTGTGATCTTTGTATGGGTTCTTAAGCAGTATACAGATCAGTGGTATCTGTGATTTCCCTAGTAGTCTAGGGAACAGTTATTAGTTGAGGCTCTGGTGAAGTTTTGATGGGAACTTGAATAGCTGAACCAGTCTTTCGGCCCCAGAAATGCATGCAGTGAGCTGAATATGCCTGATATTAGGATATAGAGCAGCTTATATTGGCAGTGGTGTTAGTGTGTCCTGGAGGGGCCAATTCCTTAGAAGCTAGTATTTGGAGCAGAGGACTAGGTGTGTGGGCTACAATGGCCTGATAAAGGGGATCTAGCCTGGGCACCAAAATAGTTCACTATTAACATTGAAATTTCCTGGCACATGGGCAGTGTTCAAGAAATGATCAACTTTATAATTCTTATATTCCAAAATTTAATTTCTTTCTATAGTGAGGTTTATATGGCTTGTCTCACCAATCTGGAAGAGTTGAAAAATTGTAGGTTAAAGCTCTTGTTAACAGAAAACATCTAAATAAATATAAGGAATGCATATAAGAAAATATAATTCAAAGCTAAGAGTCAGGATTTTTTAAGAATATTGACTAGGGAACCAGTATATTATTTTAGCTCCATAGGAATGATTACATAACATTATGTTCATCACTTTGTATCTGGGTCGAAATGACTCTGATGATTCACAGTTGATGACTCTGGGCTTCCATGTGCAGAGAGACCAACAGAAAGAGATACCATCCATGCTTATACATGACTAATGTTCTTCTGCTATTGATTTATATTTAAGAATGAAGGACTGAGTAGCAGGATGGACCCCTCATGTCATTGTTCCCATATTCCCCACAAGATTTCTTCCCAAATGGGGTGTTGGCCAGCAGTATGGGCATGTGGGCATATCATGTGAATTGGCATGCTTTTTGTTAGGATGCACATTCAGGGAACTGGTAATTAAGTTGCTCCTCTTCTTTCCCTGTGCCTGATGTCAGTTTGAAGATGGCCTAACTGTGTCAACTACTCACACTAAAAATACTAGCCTTCCCAGGTGGTTCATATCAACTCTCATGAAGATTACCTTCCTGGCATAAAGGCTGTCCTATTATGCTTCTCACACGTAAGTACAACAGTAGGACAGTGACTATAGCGGGATGCTAGTGTAGGTATTCCACATATGAACCTTCAATATGTCCCTGTGTGTTCTGTTCTTCCTACCTCCTCTTGTTCAATCTAGAAATTTTCTGGGATCTCATAGAGTAGATTTCTTTCACTCTCATTTCCACTGTAAATCTTCTCATAGTTCATTCTGGGCCATGATTTTTTCCCTGTTTCATCCACCAATGTGCTTATATGTACTTTCAATCTTATGAAAATTGTTGATATCTTTTATCTTTTTATGACTTTTACCATTATGGATTTAAGTTTATACTTCTAAATTTTATTTCATTGGGAATTTTGAAGAGATAGGAAGAGAGTACATATGCTTAGTTAGAAATTTTGTATCAAAAGCACACTCTAGTAAAATTTAAAATTTCAAACTGACTGTAATTCTTGGTCATAAGTGTGAAAAAAAATCCATGGGCAGAATCAAGAAATAGATTAGAAGCCCAAGAGAAAACTGATTTCAGGCTGGTACAAATCAACAGAGTACACAGAAAGGAATGAGTTTGTTTTGGCCTTGTGAAGAGAATCCCTATTGGCCAGATTTTCATTTTCCTGAGATTTCTCTCCTTATTCAGGTACCTCATTTCTAGGTTTCAATAATCTCCATGCTAAAATGTATTGTCTGGGGAAGACATCTTGCTCAAGAGTTCATCTAATTATTAGGCCACAGAGGCAAATGCCCTTGTTGGATACTTCCTGTCTTCACCTACACATGACTACTGCTTGCTTAGCTCTGTTGAGTGTCAATGTCAATCTCTCCCATGTCCTCTATACCTCTCAGAAGTTCCTCTCATTTCTGGTCTGCTAGATACACTCCTTCCAACTTCATTGAGTTCATATAGGTTTACTTTTCTTTTTCTCACCTAAATTCTTTTGAGAATCACCTGTTTATATGTTATATTTTCTTATCTGTAGCAGTCTGCTCAGGTTTCTCCATAGAGGGACCTCTGTTAATTTTTTTTTTCCTGTTAGATTCCCATCACTTGGCATAAGATACCAGTATACTGAGTATTGACAATTGAGACAGGACTCTCATTTTCTCTTTTTAAACATAGCCTTACGAATATCAAATGTTGCTCCATGAATTAATATAGATGTGTTTTCAGGCAGGATTTGTCTTAGGAGTTTTGTAGAGCTTTGCCCTGAAGGAATATGTGAACGTGTTGGTTTGCATTTCAAATGCTGTTACACTTGGAAGGGCGTCTCTGAAAGACAGTAGCAGCTGTATCCCACAAGGCTCCGCGTTTCTCAGACCTAAAGGTTTGGATTTGCTTTGTAAAGCAAAGCGAATCTGTTAAAAACTACAGGATGAGAGCTGACAATGGAGTGCCCCCTGGAACAGACAGCTGCCCAAATGGCTAAAAACGAGCTCCTGTTTAAACACTCTAGACTACCTGTCTTCATTCACAATAACCTAATAAATATGGAGCCAACATATCTCTGTTTAACCCCTCTGTTAAGTGATAAATTTACCTTAGAACATAGAAGTTAATCTTTGAAAGATTTTATAACCATTTGTTCACGTAGATAGAATTAGTTAAAGGATCTGTAGAAGCCTTTTGAAAATCTGTTAACCTGAGAGGAACTACCTGCTTGCTGTTATGTAAATATGTTACCCCTGGCAACTAATCACTGTTCCCTGTAAGTTACCATGTAAGACCTCATTCGGGGCTTTTTGAGACCCATGGAGAAGGTCTAGGCCCCCTGAGATCCTGCTTTGCCTATAATCTTCATAAATTTATAAAACTATATCTTTGTTTCTGTGTATTTTTTCATTTCTTTTATTTTCCATTTTTCTCTATTATTTTCTTATCCCTTGCAACTCTACCAAAGGGACCCGCTTTTTTGCGGGGAACATTGGCCACGTTCCCGGCAATCAAACTTGTTGATATGAAAGCAAGCAGTCTTTTAAACAGTTTCTGCTTGACAAATTATTGCCTTTATTAGTTTGCATTGATTAATTAATTAATGTCAGGTAATCCAGGCTGTTTTAAAGTATAAGTCTCTTGTCTAATTTTTTTTTCCTTTAACACCAAATAAAAGTATAATCTCTTTCACTCACTTTGATGCTCACATCCAGCAGCACAGGGCTATGTGCAGCTCAGCTCAGTCTTAGGGAATGGATATTCTCCACTGTCCCCGATCAATGGCTTTAATAACAACACAACAAATAGAATGTCTCAATGGTATTCCAAAGTTCAGAATATTGTCTTTTGTGACTAATTTCTCAGTAAAGTAAATTACTCTTCTATTTGCACATAACTCCCATTTCCTTGTATTTTAGGATCCATAGCATGTATTACAGAAGGCGATGGTGTCACAGATTCAGGAAGGAAGAAACGCATTCTGTTAGGAGTTTTTTTTGGCGGGGGGGGGGGGGGGGGAGGTATAACATTCCTTTATTATAGTGCAAATGACTTTTGGCAGTGACATAATGTAACAACACATTTAGCAACATTTTACACCACGCAGTAAATAAGAAAGTGTTTCTTCGAAAATATGTCATCATAGCAACGTTATTTCTACATTAACGCTGGAATTTTGATAGCACATCTCCGCAATGAAGAGGAAGCAGTTCGCTGTCTTGGATCCTTGGTGCCGCCTCTGGCCTTTAGAGGGCAATGTTGCACAAAGGCGGCACCTGTTCCTACTGCAAATCATAATCATCATCATCGTCCCGAGCCCCTCCTCCCTGCAGCTGGCTGATGTACCTCCCTGATGTCTGTGTCAGTAGGGACGTGTGACCAGAACAAGAAGCCAGAAAGCATGCAGACTCCTTAAGGGAAAGCCTCTTTTTAGCCATTTTTGAAACTTGTCAAAGCAAGGGACTTGCCCAGCCCAACTTCCCCACTCCTCCTGGCTCCTGAGGCTCAGAGACCTTAGCCACCACCTCACCTGCCCAGGTCCTGTAGCGTTTCCACTGCTCGGCCATGCCCCTGCTGCTCCTCCTGGTGCTTGAGGGGATTTTTGCCCTGGGTGAGTAACATTCTGTTTGCTTTCACCCCTTCATGAAAGAGACCGAGTTCTAATAGGATCTGAATAGAGACGTGTTTTCTTCATAGAGAAGTCTGTGCTGCTTTTACTTACACAGCATTGCCGTTGCAGGAGGAACGGGGGCCCAGACAGTGACCCAGCCTGACCTTCACGTCACTGTCACTCAAGGAGCCTTTCTGGAGCTGAGGTGCAACTACTCAGTTTCTTTTACACCATTCCTCTGGTGGTACGTGCAGTATCCCAACCAAGGACTTCAGCTTCTCCTGAAGTACGTATCGGGGAACACCCTGGTTAAAGGCATCCAAGGTTTCGAGGCTGAATTTAGGAAGAATGAATCCTCCTTCCACCTTCGAAAAACCTTCGCCCATTTGAGCGACTCTGCCCAGTACTTCTGTGCTGTGAGTGACACAGTGTCTGGGGCTGCAGGGGGAGCTGAACACAAACCTCCTGAGACACTGGGACTTCCTGCGACTCAAGAACTCAACATTGAAGTCTATTTTATAATATTAAAAAATCACTTCAACTTTCTGATGTTTACTGATGTGTGCCATATCTTCTTCATCTATTTATTTTTAATGTACTTGTGACTTTAAATTTACCTGTGTTTCTTGTAGGTAGCATAAAATAAAGTATTGCCTTTTTATATACTCTGTCAATCTCCGTTTTTACACTGGCAAGTTTAGACAATTAAAATTGAATATAAATATTTATCAGGTTGAATTTAAGTATACTATTCTATTATTGTTTCTCTGTGTCACCCATCTTTATTTTTTTTTTCTCCCTTCTCTTTTTTCTGACTCCTTTTGGATTATTTGAATATTTTTTAACATTACATTTTAATGTATCTATGGACTTTTTGGCTATATCTCTGTAGTTTTTGAACGGTTGCTCCAGAGATTACAACATACATGCCTAACTATCAGAGTCTACTGTGAGTAAATATTGTACCACTTTATGTGCAATGCAGAAATATTGCACCATATGTCTCTACCTACCAACACTGAAGTCTGTTATAGTTGTTCATATATATTACAGCTACATACATTAAAAATATTGCCAAATGTTATAATTTTTCCTTTAAACAATTGTATGTACTTTTAAAATTTAATAGGGAGAATAAGAAGTATTTTACATTTAATAGCTATTTACCATTTCTGGCATCATTCCTTTGTTACTGAAGATTCAAGTTTTCCTGTGATACCAGGGATGTGTCTGAAACAATGCAGTTCCCTTCAAACTTGAAAAACACCCTGTAGCATTTCTTTTAGAGTAAGTTTGCTGGAAAATATATTTTTTAATTATCTGATATCTGAAAATGTCTTTATTCTTAATTTCCCCTTTATTTCTGGATGATATTTTTACTGGGTTTGTAATTTTGTGTCTTTGTGCACTTCCCCCTCCTCACTTTAAAGATGCTGTTTCATTATCTTTTGGTCTTCATGTTTTCTGATGAGAAAGCCATGGTCATTCAAATAATTGTTCCTCAATGATGTAACATGTTGTTTTTCTCTAACTGCTTCATAAATATGTTGTTTTTACACACACACACACACACACACACACAATATATATATATATATAATCTTTTATTGTCAGCAGTTTAATTATGATGTGCTTAGGTGTGGTTCTCTTTGATTTTATCTTGTTCGGGGTTTGCTGAACTTCTTGAGTTCACAAATTTATCTCTTTCATTGAAGTTGGCAAGTATTTTGGTCATTCTTTTTCAAATATGTTTTTTGACTCAACCTCTTTTCTTTCTCCCCTTTTTCTAGGACTCCAAAGAGGTATATTAATAGTTCAGAGTTTTAGATATTGTCCCACAGGTCTCCATGGCTCTATCTACTTTTTCCTTCAATTTTTTAAATTGATTTTAAGGTTTGATCAAGGTTTCTTGACCTTGGAACTATGGACATTTTGAGCCAAATAATTTTTTATTGGGGTTGCAGCTGTTTTGCGTTGTAGGATTTTTGGCAGCATCCCTGGCCTCTAGTCACTAGGTGCCTATAGTGCTACACACTCCAAGTTGTGACAACCAAAATTGTGTGCAGACTTGCTAAATATCTCCTAGAAGGTGGCAAAGTCAAAATTTGTTGGGTTCGATAATCTATATTAATCTATTTTCAAGCTGGCTCGCTCTTCTCTTTGTCATCTTCATTTTGCTATTGAGCCCTTACTGTGAAGTGTTTATTTCCAATATTTTATTTTTCAGTTGTAAAATTTCTGTTTGGTTCTTTTTGTAATTCTATTTCTTTGCAGCAAATTCTTATCTTATCATTCATTTCAAGTATGTTTCTTTTTACTTCCTGGAATATCATCGAAAGAGCTATGTTAATATCTTTTTCTATTAGTTCTAGCATCTTAGTCATTTTGCCATTTGTGTTTGTTGATATTTTACTTAAATATTAGTCCATTTTTTTCTGGTCCTTTGTATGTTAAATAATTTTGGAATGCAACTTAAACATTTTTAAATATTATGTGTGTAGACTCTGTTTTCTTCTTTTTGTCTCCCCTTTTGTGGAATTTGGTGGCTCAAAATCTCAGTTCAGTTCTCTAATCATTTGCTGAAGCACTTATAGCTGAGGGATTAGTATGAAACTTGTTTGGGTGGGTCAAACTCAGGTCAGTTCCTGAACTCTGTGCTATATTGGTTTGAGTCTGTCCTACATGGGTGCCAACCAGGTGGTAGTCTGAAATTTGGACAGTGGTTCGAATCTCAGCTCACTAACCTAAACTTTGTTATTCTGGTGTGGATTGGCTTCATGTATGTGGAGCTTTGAGATTAGCCCAGGACTTAAGCTGTTTTCCATTTCTTCCCCTGGGGTCTCCCTTTTCTATCCTAACCTGCAGAGCCAGAAAGCTTGTGTTTCTTTCAGAGTTCTTATCTCCTATGCCATTGTCATCCTACTTTGCATCAGGGGCCTGCCTCAGGGCAAAGCCAAAGGAGAAAAAAAGAAAAAACATGAAATTCACCCTTGTGCAAGTTGTTCCTCTAACTTTTGACTCCCCTACACAATCTTCCTGCTTTTGTCTAATTTTAGAGCATACAGGTAGTTACTTTTTTGTAGTTTGTTCAGTTTTACTTGCAATAGGTGAGAGAGATGGGCTGTAGGCGTCTTAAAGCTACGTCCTATTCTATTATACTAAGTTCCTGCAGTAACTTCTGGTTCTCTGCAACATTCATCAAGGATGGTTATTTGTCCTTTTCTTTTTCCACTATTATTTTTATTACCCTCCTTAGTTAAATCTTATCTGTTTTGCATATCTGTAATTTTTTTCCTCATCAATATTATAAGAATCTTCCAGTTAAGGTCTTGATTTTTTGGACCTTTCCCCTCTCATTCTCCAAACTCATAAAGGTTTTCCTCTGGTGCTGGAAAATGAGAATGCTCACTTGTTTTTATGCATGCTTCAACTACTAGATTTTTTTTTCTAAAATCTAAAAATTTCTGAATTCTACACCATATCCAGACCCAAGAGCATGATAAGGCATGGTACAACTACTCACAGACTATATTTTTTCAGTACTTAAAAGAGAGTTGTTTTTTTTTTTTAATTATTTTTTTCAATTTTCTCTTCCTCTATTTTTTAAATTTCTGAATTTTTCCTTATTTTTAATGGACTGTGTATTTTAATAGTTTTGGCCATATGTGGAGACTCTTTAATCTTCCTGGCAATCAATGTATTTCTTCAACATCCTTAAAGGAGAATATTCTATTTCTGATCTTATTCTTTTTTAACTATGAGATGTTGCTTCTACCGTAGAGGATTGGAGAATTCCTTTGCATTCTTCCAGGGCAGAGGAAAAAGCACTGCTCCAAGGCATCAGACAACCCTGTGGCTTTTGACTTTGAACACACTGGGCTTTGCCGATGCCCAGCAACTTTGAGAGGAGTTAAAATGACCACTAGCCTGAAAGCCAGCAGGAAATCCTCCTCGTAGCTTATTTTTGACTAGTTTTTTGTGTCCTAACTTTAATCTTTTATTTGATCCCATTCACTTTCTGTCTTCTGGAAATATGTATAAATCTGTCTTCTCCAGATGATCCTTATTCGTTTTACTCTTCTGGATTTCTGTTTATTTCCATTTATATTTCTATTATTTTAGTCAGGAAGAAATGTAAAACAGATGAAAAGTGAGTATATGGCCTAAGGAATCAGAAGTCCACTTCTAGGCTACCACATTTACAAAATAACAGCATTACTAAGTCTCCTTTGTGAAAGAATCTCTCTAGAGGCAGGAACAAGTGAAGGAAGAACTTAAGGAGAGAACTAGGCTCCTGCTCCTGGAATCCAAGAAAAGAATATTCTGACTTAGTAAAAGTGTTGCACTGGCCACAGAGAAAGCAATGAATTTCTTCATTCTTAATGTTTTCAGAGCTTTCTCACCTGATGTGGCTGTATTTCCTCTAGTCCCAGACGTTTCTATAGTTGTATTTCCTTGAGCCCTAGGGTCAAAGCCTCCCCATACAGAGTTACATCTTGTTGTTAGTGGCATAGAGGCGATTTTCTCATTTTAGGGACCATTTTTTACTGCTATGGGTGAACAAGCATCACCCAAGGGAAATGTCTCCATTATCTTCTATCACCACCATGGCAGCACTGGACCAGCCAACATCAACCTGACTCAATTGGTCTGATTCTGGACTCTCATGGACTCACATCTGAATTCTGGTAAAATTTAAAAAAACTGGTTTCTCAGTAAAGTAACTTCTTAATCTATTTTTATATGGCTTCCTATTTCTATGAGCTTCAGGACTAATACACCATCATAGATTTGGGATGGAAAGAACATGTTGTGTGCAAATTGTGATACATCTCACAAAGTAGGAGGAACACACTGAGTTTTCTGTGCTAAACTCTGGTTCTGCACCTGGCCTCCAGAGGGCGATGCAGCACAAACGAGAGATCTTGCTTCTGTTTCAAATCATCACCAACTGCTCAGGTCTTCCTCCCTGCAGCCAGCTGAGTTCTTTGCAGAGACATGTGACAAGAAGCAGAGGTCAAAAAGCATCCAGGTTCATTACAACAGCTTTGGTAGTTTTATCTAAGCAAGGAACTGGTACAGCTGAACTTTCCCCACCTCTGTTTCCAAGGTCTTTGCTTCTGCAGCCACTTCTGCCTGTTCTTGGGGCATCTAGAAAAGAGCCTGTGGCGTCTCCACTGTTCAGCCATGTTCCTGGTGCTCATCCCAGTACTGGGGATACATTTTGCCCTGAGTGAGTAAAGAATGTCTTTATGGTCTGTAGTTCTGCAGATTCTGCCTAGAAATGCTTATTTTTTTTGTACCAAAGTCTGAACTGTCTTCACTGATGATATAACATTTATTTTTCAGAAGATGCCAGAGCCCAGTCTGTGACCCAGCCTGACGGCCACATCACTATCTCTGAAGGAGACTCCCTGGAGTTGAGATGCAAGTATTCCTATGGTGCAACACCTACTCTCTTCTGGTATGTCCAGTACCCTGGCCAAGGCCTCCAGCCTCTCCTTCGGTACTACTCAGGAAACACCCTGGTTCAAGGCATTAAAGGCTTTGAGGCTGAAGTCAGGAAGAATGAATCTTCCTTCACCCTGAGGAAACCCTCTGTGCCCTGGAGTGACGCAGCTGTGTACTTCTGTGCTCTGAGTGACACAGTGCCTGGGACTGCACGGGGAGCTGAACGCAAACCACCTATGCTGGTGGAGTTTTCAGAGACTCAAGATCTCTTGTGGCATTTTCAAAGTTCTCTTGTTCTATGACGGCAACGAGGCAAAGAGGGCTGAGCTGACCCAGGTACTTCTATATAAGTCTGCAATTCCTGCTGTGTCCCATGTCTGATAAACTTTGTTTCTGAGGATTTTTGCTCATTGTAGAAACTACATAATAGTAAATAGTATTCTAGAATGATGGAGGAGATAATCAGCTTATCACATAATAATCCGGCCCTCAAGGATTTGCCTTGATGTTGACTGCATTAAGGGGTTGACTATGTGAGTTGTGACATGGCCTAGGAGAAGCTGGGTTTTCATTTATCATTTCATCTCTCAACTAACCTAGAAAACAAAAGATGAGTTTCTCATGTATATACCTTCTAAATTTGTCTCCTTGTTGAGTTGGTCATTCATAGCTATTTTAGACTATTTTCTTAGAATTTCTTTTTCTGGCTCTAACTGTGCTGTTCATGTGTCAGAAAATTTTGTCTGAGTTTAAGTACCTGTATTTAGGAAGGATTCTGACAAATGATTAGTCAACAGTAAAAGATTGATTAGAATCATGAAGAACTTAGATGTCTTGGTGATGTTAGTTCTGGTCAACTATTTAAGAACAGTGCAGAAGGAGTGCCAGGAATGGGGCCAACACTCCCCGCAAAAAACCGGGTCCCTTTGGTAGAGTTGCAAAGGATAAGAGAATAATAGAGAAAAATGGAAAATAATTGGAAATAAAAGAATACACAGAGACAAAGGTATAGTTTTATAAATTTACAAAAATTATAGGCAAAGCGGGATCTCAGGGGGCCTAGATTTTCTCCGTGAATCTCAAAAAGCCCCGAATGAGGTCTTACATGGTAAACTTACAGGGAACAGTGATTAGTTGCCAGGGGTAACAGATTTACATAACAGCAGGTAGTTCCTCTTAGATTAACAGTTTTTCAAAAGGCTTCTACAGATCCCTTAAGTAATTCTATCTACGTGAACAAATGGTTATAAAATCTTTCAAAGATTAACTTCTATGTTCTAAGGTAAATTTATCACTTAACAGAGGGGTTAAACAGAGGTATAGTGGCTCCATATTTTCTTTATCAGGTTATTGTGAATGGAGACAGGTAGTCTGGAGTATTAAGCAGGAACTTGCTTTTAGCCAGGGTGGCTATCTGTTCCGGAGGGTACCCCTTTATCAGCTCTCATCCTGTAGTTTTTAACAGATTCGCTTTGCTTTACAAAGCAAATCCAAACCTTTAGGTCTCAGAAACGCAGCGCCTTGTGGGATACAGCCACTACTGTCTTTCAGAGACGCCCTTCCGAGTGCAACAGCATTTGAAATGCAAACCAACACGTTCACATATTCCTTCAGGGCAAATCTCTGCAAAACTCCTAAGACAAATCCTGTCTGCAAACACGTTCATATTAATTCATGGAGGAACAAAGGAGAATGAAGATTTAGAATTCATCAGTGTTTCTCCAAAGACTTTTTCACAGCTATAAAAGTAGTTTCCTATTCTTTTGGTATCTTAAATTCTGCAAATCTACATCAGAAATTTGTGAGTGTAATCCCTTTCACCTCTCTTCTATCTACTGACATTTTTACTTGTTGCTTTCACCCTGTTGTTACATGATTTCACGTTTGTAATATTAAAGATTGATTCTTGTATGCTAACTTTGTCATAATCAATCATGTGGTAAGTTTAGCAATGCCAAGCTCTGCTAGAAATACTGAAAAGAATAACAACTGGGGGTCACTGGACCCAGTATAAATTTATGACTTTCTTCTGTTTAGGATGGAAAGAACTGTATAAGAAGATTTTATGTTCCCTGTGTGCTTGAAGCCTTGGAGGATAACAAGTACTCTGGAGAAAAAGGAGAAGGAGGAGGGAGCTTTCAAGGTGCCTATTTGGCTCATGCTGTAATGTATAAGAGGGTAGATGCATAGGAACCCTCAAAATATAGAGAGAATAAGTAGATTGTGGCCAATGGAACACATTGGCCAAATGATGAACCAGGAGATCAAAAGTATTTTACAGGATGTAGTGGTATGATTATGTGTGAAAAATGTGTTTGAGTGATTGCTGAAGAGGTGTAAGGAAGGTAAATGGGAGTAGAGACATAAAATTATGAACAAGAAATGTATGCTCATTTAATGCTCCTCTCCTTCCTTCCCTCCCTTCCTTTCTATTTTTGGACCAGACTCTTTTATCTTTCATAAAATGTCTAATTTCAGGTGACTCACTGTCATCAACTCAGCCACATTGCCCAAAGAGACTGTGGTGGGCACTTTCTGCAGATTGGTATGAGAAGGAGAACTGTCAGTTTCTTTAGATTCTGAACTCAAGCTGACTTTTGAAGAAAAATAACTTCCACACCAAGGACCTCTAGCAGCTCAGAGAACATCCCCCAACTCCCCAAACAACTCTGCCTGAGATATAAGAGTAATCTCTACTTCCCATTTTTATTTTATGTGCACATTTTTGGAAATTAACTTTACAATTTAGTGTATAGATAAGAGAATTTTCAGAAACACTGTCCCTGAATTTGAAGAGTTCTTAATACAACCAGCAATGAATATAATGACCCTTGGGATTATGCATCTTCTCATTTGGAGAAAGGATGAGACAATGTTCACTTGCGAGAAAGATTTCTGTATCTTGAAGTGGGTAGAAATATAGAATTGTTTTATTGTTGTATGTATTTTATGATAAATGTGTGCAGAGGTTGCATATAGAAGCTGAGTAGTCCAAGAAGTGAATTGATTTACTGACTCTCAGTTCCAAATTCACCCTTTGCCTGTTTTGTTAGGATGGACCTGAACCCTTCAACTATTTCTTTTGTCAGTTGGCACCACGTTAAGCTTTGTCAGAAGAGGATACAGGAAGAAAGGGTTTGCTTTCTGGTTTCTGTATGCTCAATCAAAAGGATTCGGCAGCACAGAGGCTTCTCCAGTGTCCAGCTCACGTAGAGCACCTGCACCAGGTTCCTGCAGTGTACAGTGGCCAGAGCTTCCTCCAGCACCCCTATTTTTGGGTTGTTCTGTGGAAGAGCACCTCCCGTGAGACATGACCCTGTGAATAGCTTTCCATTGCTATCCCTAGAGGATAGTTTTCTGGCAAGTTCAGAGGGTGGATTTCCAGCCATTTCGACTGGTCCAGCACCACAGCGACTTGTCTGTCATCCCGTGAGCCACAGCTGTGCTTTTTCCAACAAGATCTGAGTCTCAGCCCTGAGAATTTGGCTGGGGGCCTCTTCCCTGGGCCTTCTGTCCCAGCCCTAGGAGTAGTGGCTGCACCTTGTATCCGAAATTCGTACAGGAATAGGAATAGGAGTAGCAGAGTTTTCTTTCCTTTGTACTATCCATTTCCTTGTTACTCTAATCCTCTGTTATAGTTAATCATTCTTTATATTAAAATTTCCTATTCAAGTTATTATATGGCTTCTCTGTCCTGATTGGACTAGGCTTATACATGAACCAAGGACTTCAAGCAGTTGGAGAGCATCCTCTGCCTCCCTACGCACTCCTGGCTGAAAAACCGAAGTTGCTTGCTCGTTTTATTTATTTATTGCTTTATTTGTTTTATTTATTCATTGCTTTATTGTTTTACTTATGTGATTATATAATTATGAGAAACTTTTTAGAATATACCAAGGTATAGGCCATCCTAGATTGTTATATCCTATTCATGCAAGGGTAGAGTGTGTCTCTAAAATACTTTAGTCAAAACATGTATCTTAAATACTTTTATTTAAAACCCATTTCTAACAATATTATGCTATTTAACATGCCACTAATGTTGATAATAAAAACCCACTATCTTATATTCCCTATACCGTTTAGCAAAGCTTCAGTTGTCACTCAAGATGTGGATAGCTGAACTCTGGTTTCCTCTGTGTGGCCTTCCAGTAGCTGAGCACCCTGAAGTTTTCCATCTCGACCAGATCAACTGACTCTCCTTAGAGTTAGACTTGAACTAGCACATACTCTATATCCTATGGTCTGTGTTGAAAAAGATCTAATGCAAATTATATATCCTAACAGTTTGATATATTTATTCTTATTTGGTAATTGATATACAGATTGTATGAATAATTTTTACATAATTGTTCCTTCATGTTCTGGAGATCTATAAGTTATGTAATTATAATCCTTTCTCAACAATTATTCCAGAGAAATTATTAATATTTAGAGGCACTTTCCTATATATAGTAAATATTAAAATATTTAAGAGCTTGTAAGGTAACTTATGAAGAATATTCCACTCATCTATTATTTAATATTGAATATACAATACATCCAATACAAATTTCCAATATTTCTAGCACATTAACAAAATTGTTAGGATAATTAGACCTTCATACACAATTCTTATGGTGATATCTAAGACAAGGGAGCACATTTATTTAGGAAACAAATGCACCAAAACATGGGTATAAAAGGTAGAATGTTAAAATTTTGAAGACATTTTATATGTACATTTATGATTCCAAATTGCTTTTTGTGATATGTTTTATATAATAGGATATTAAAAATTGACCTTATACTAATTTTCCAGGGCTGCCATAACATAATATAACAGACTGGCTGGCTTAAACAACAGAACTTATTTTCTCACAGTCTTGGAGGCTAGAAGTCCAAGATCAAGGTGTTGGCGGGGTTAGTTTCTGCCGAGGCTTGCAGATGGTTGGCTTCTCACTGTGTCCTCACATGGTCTTTCCTCCGAGGGTGCACATGCCTGGGTCCAAATTTCCCTGTCTTGTAAGAACACCAGTCACGTTGAAATAGAGCCCACCTATATGACCTCATTTTGCTTTAATTACTTCTTTAAGGACCCTGTTTTCACATACAGTCACATTCTGAGGTACTGGGGGTTTGGGCTTCAACATGTTAAATTCATAAACAAGACAATTGAGGCCTCCTTTGATGCAACACTTTAGTATTTTCACATAGTGATCATAAATAATTTTGATAATGAGATTTTCCTACCTTCTCTGTTTTTTCTCTAGCTTAAGTGTGTTTCTAGAGGAACCAGAAATGCGCAATTACAAATACAGAT